GATGGAGGGGAGTGGTGGAGATGGAGGGGAGTGGTGGTGATGGCGGTGAGTGGTGGTGGTGGAGGTGAGTGGCGGAGATGGAGGGGAGTGGCGGAGATGGGGGGAGTGGCGGTGATGGAGGGGAGTGGCGGGAGATGGGGGGAGTGGTGGAGATGGAGGGGAGTGGTGGAGATGGAGGGAAGTGGTGGTGAAGGAGGGAAGTGGTGGAGATGGGGGGAGTGGTGGTGATGGAGGGGAGTGGTGGAGAAGGAGGGGAGTTGTGGTGATGGAGGGGAGTGGTGGTGGAGGTAGAGGGGAGTGGTGGTGAAGGAGGGGAGTAGTGGTGAAGGTGGCAGAATATGAATGTGCTTAATGTCCGTGAACTACACACTTAAGAATGGTAAAGACAGTGTATGTTATGTTAATTCACAATAGAAAAGTGCTTTTCAATAAAAGTGTGAGTGCTTATATCTAATGAACAGAATAGCTGGCTGAGCACCATCCACAGGCCTGAGTGTTGCCTATGGTCTCCACACCTCCACCAGGAGGGCAGGCGGAGAGTGCCAGGGCCAGGCACTGTACTAAGCTGGGACCAAAGCTGGGACACAAACCCATCTGCTCCACAGCAAGGCCAAGCTGCCTCTGCTCAGCCCCACCGCCTTCACATGCAGTGAACAGGCCACACTGCGCTCTTCACACTTGGTCCTCTGATGGGTGCCACACCACCCCTCGTTCCCTGGCCAACTCCGACGCATTCTGGCGACTAGGCTCCAGTGCCTTCTCCCCTGTGCAGCCAGTACCCACCCCCCCCAGGAGGACACGTCACTATCTTGTGTGCTATTTCTATGTGCTCCTTAGCACGCTTGGCCATCACGATTGATTTACTTGTCACTCTTTCCTAGAGATGTGCCCTGGAAGTAAGGGCTCCTCTTTCTCCCCCGCTGCCCATCTCAGGATCCACAGCACCAAGGACCACCTCATAGAAGATGCAGGAGCCTGGGCCCCTCCCAGTCTGTGGAGCTATGTTGATCTGCACTGTGGTTTTGCCAGAGAATTAGCCCCAGGAGACAGAGGCAGAAGGGCAGAGTATTGTCAGAGTCAGGGCATACACTGTGTGAAACAAGGCCTATCCTTTCCCTCTGCTTGGCAGCTCAGGAGGAGCAGAGGGTATGGTGTTACAGCCAGGCCTCTGTGACTCAGCAGCAATTGACCTTGGAGAGGCCACTTAATCTCTCTGAACCTCAGAACAATGTGAGTCCTACCAAAGACTTTAAAATTACAAGGTGCTGTGAAGACTACAGGAGAAGATGTATGTGGCAGTCCCAGGCACGGGGTCAGGGGGACACCACGGGTCTGGCCTCCACATGGGGTGTTCCCCTCTGTGCACATCCACCCTACACAACACAGAGTCCTAGTCTGTGCAGATGTCTGACTCCCAGTGGGTTTCGAGGCCCTTCATCAACTGGGTCATGGGCCAGCTGCACATCTCTGTGTGCTGTACACCTTTTCTAGAATCAAAAGCTCAAGATTAATTTAAATGCATGGCATTAGCAAATTCAGAAGCAGAAACCAAAACCGAGCTACCCTAATTGATAACAAAAATGTGCATGAGGCCCTCTCAGCCACTTGGCCCAAGGGACCTGCAAAGGGAGGACAGCCCTGCCACAGCCTCCCTGATACATCTTCATGGGTCACTATGAATAGAGGGGTTAGGACAATGCCTCGGGGTCAGCACTAATGGGTAGTGGAGGTTTCAGAGAGGACAGACTCACATGTTATCTGCAGATGCCACCGAGTATGTTTAGAAAATAAGCCTGGCAAACAGAGGAACATTCCAGAGTAGAGGGCACACTGGCCACAGAGCTGGAAGTGACAGGATGAGAACTCATGAGCACTACCAAACTTGAGCAGGTGTGCATGTCACTAGAGGAGGGGCACGAAGCCACTGGGACAGCCCAGCACCTATCCTGTAGGCACCTGTGAAGCAGGACCACAGTCCCCATACCTGTGTCTTTCCCAGATAGAGGGAAGAAAAACAGCTTAACTCTGGGCACTGTGGCCCATCCAAAGCCTTCTGAACGAGGAAACCCAGTGATATGTGATGAAGTCATGTGAGCTTCTAAAGAGCTCTCTCTCGGGCTCAGAGCACCTTCAGTAAGAGCTGGAAGGGATGTGAGCAGCGCTGGGCCTGGATAGCACTTCCCACAGCACCCTCAAAGTAAGTCAGACTCCCTCGTCCCTAGGTTGGGTGGCAGGTGAGACCGCGTCCGTGATGCCCTCCAGATGCATTAACATGCCCAGGGCCAAAGGCCAGACCACATGCCCACCTCCAGCCACGGGTCCCTTGTCACTGTTCTCACAAGTCCTAGGAAACCCTGCTTGATCCCATTTCTTTAGTGAGACTGTGCCCAAGATTCCTGGCTGGATGGACGAGTGCTGCTTCCAGTGTTTTCTGGGACTGTGGGCATAGAGAGTGATTTCCCTCCAAGAACCTGGATAGGCCTGGATGGCTGGTGGGAACATGAGGTGGGGATGGAGCAGCGCTGGGGCTTCTATGCGGTGAGCATATCCCAAGAACCGAGTCACATAATTCTAAATCCAATTCATTTGATGGTAAAGAAGCCAAGTAAATGAAATACTTTTACTGTGCTTCTTACCTGCAAGTCAGAAGGGATTTTTTATTGGGCAGCTCTAGTCTAAATACCCCTGGGCAATTCATATTCCTCTGCCAACAAGCCCAGGAGTCACACCAGCAGGATGCTCAGAAAGCATGGACAGTGCACTGTGATGCCTCCTTTCTCCAGACTCACTGGTGTCAGCTACGGATGCACTTGCTCTGAGCACAGTGACCTGGCATGCTGCAGGACGCCACGTCCTCAGGGCCCTCCCGCGAATAGCCCAGGGCCTGCAGCCAGGGGCTCACACTCACGTCTGATCTCACACTAGCCCACCCTTCAGGAAGTGTGTGTTCCCACCAGCCTGGACTGGCTTCCCAAGAGAAGTAATGCCGTAGAAAGCAATGCTGGCAATGAGAGTAGCTGTCCAGATGGCATGGGGCGGGTGTCCAGCCTCCACAGTAATCAGAACACATAGAGTTGACCTGATCATGCCAGTGAACTCAGTAAGATTTTCATGCGGAGCACACTCTCAGCTGCTGTGGTCAAGACTTGTTTGCTTTGATCAACTAGAAACTGCTATAAAATATTTCTGAGGTTTTTAAGTTTAGCAATGAAAGTTGACATTGGCTAATCCTGCAAGGAGACTGGAAGACACAACACACGGAGTGAAGAGCTGGGGGTGTGGGGTGCGGAGGTAGGCGAAGGGGGGAGAACGGAGAAGAGCTCACTCCTGCACCTTGTTATCATTCCTTTTCTGTTTTACGAAATCACAGTATACAGGCTAGCGATGTATTAATGAGTAACCTAATACATCCAAGTGCTCTGTGGTCACTTGGCCCAATCTCTGCACTACCAGTAGAAAACAAGACCAAACCAGCCCCAGGTCCTGAAACCCCGGGGCTGCTGGCTTTCCCGATGCTAACCTGTGCACCCTGACAAGTGAGGTTTGCATCTTTGCTGCTTATGAGGATCCAGCGCCTAAAGGAGGGTCTGATGTGAAACAGGCTGAATGTGAGTAGAGGACAAACCTGGCCCTACCACCACCCCCAAAAGCGTGAAAGCCTAATGTGCCTGTGCAATCTGCCTGTGGAAGCAGGCAGCACCCACAGGATGTGGTCCGACCTTGGTCCATGCAACTGCAGGGTCTAAGGCCCATGGGAGTCTGGGCTGACCTTGGCCTCCTGCAGCACATGTTCATGGGGTCTGGGCCTACCTTGGCCTTGCGCAGCACGTGCCCGCGGCAGGGGGAGCTGCCCGGCGCCGGCTGGCTCCTCTTCAAGACAGCTGCACTGTTCACTGGCACGGGGCCCTCTGCATCACTCGTGTCACAGCTGGAGATGGGCGAGTTCTCCAGAGTCCGATGCCGGAACACCGGGGACTGTTGACAGAGAAGGAAAACCCTGTGTGAGGAACGGCTTCCAGGCCACCAAAGTTTTCCAGCAGAAAAATAGAATATTTTCAAGAAGAAATGGGTTTTAGAAATGAGCAAAAATAACAAGGATAACCATGTAGTCAGTGCCTAATTCCCAGAGCACCTTTCGACCCCACTTCACAGACGGGAAAGCTGAAGCTCAGAGAAGGCTGACTGCCTGTACATGGCTGGGATTCTTCTCCCAGCCTTCTGCACTGGAAGTTGGGCTCTTCTGTTCATGTCGTGAGGCCTCTGAGTTGTCCCCCTGGGTGGTGCTCTGCACCGTTCAGAGCTTTTCCATAGGTTGGCTGCCCTGAGGCCAGGCAGCAAAGCCCCCAGAGGTGGGGCCCAGCACCAGCTCCTGGAACCCAGCACCCTGCGTGGCTTGCTGGAGCATAGGCGCTGATTCCGCTGAGGATCCCTGACTGCTCACAGCACAGTTCACATGTGCCAAAGGAATAGACTTTCTGGAAGGCTTAGAATAGAATAAAATGTGCCCTCAGTTGCCAAAGTCCCATCTTTGGCTCTTCCAAACAGCTTTTTGAAAAAAATGTCCATGGTCTGCTGTACTTGCTCAAATGGGTCTCCAGGGAATAAACTCTTCCTATCACTACTGCCAAAATGTGTAACGTAAATACTATCACTCAAGGCATACAGAATGTCTTTTTAGGAGAATCGTGGTTCAATTACCATTAAAGTGGGGGGGTTCTTGTGGGGGTTTACTGGCCACAGATCCCCAAGCAGCCATCTTCTACCTACATTCCAGACATCCTAGGAAATGGCCAGGGAAGCCTGAGGACAGTGACGGGCAGTGCCTCAGACCATGCCATCCCCTCTGCCACCTTAGAACAAGAAGCTTGTGGGGGACCATGTGTCCTCCTGCCTCAGGTCACCACAGACAATAGGCACAAGGGAAGACCACCCACCCCATACTAGAGATGGTCCCAGCCATTGCCACTCTGCAACTGTAGCTGACCTTGTCCTCTTCCCGTCAGATGCTGAGAGGCCCAGGACACAGTGCTCAGATTCTGATCCCCATTGCACCCAGCCCTCCCTGACCCTGCTTTATAGCTTGGCAGAGCCCTGCTGACATCTGGCATAAATGCATTCAACTGGCTGTCTCCCCTCACGAGAATGTGAGCCTCACAAAACAGGCATTTGCGCCCACTGTGGTCACAGCCCTGGGTCAGGAGGTATTTCTGGCACACAGACAGAACACAGCACATGCATATACACACACATAAACACCTTTGCATATGTGTAATATTTATCATATTTAGTATATAAATAATTATTAAACTATTGTATAATTTCTACATAATTATAGTATCTATGAGATAGTAATACATATTATACATACGATAATAGCAGTAAAATTTTATAACTATCTACCTGTGGAGTGAATGGGGTACATGAATGATACACACGGGACGGGGAACACACGACTGCACGAAGGGATGAACACACATGTGGGTGGGCACTGTGCCGAGGGCTTCTGCACACACAAGCTTATGCAGCAGGCAGTATCTTTGTCTCCATTAAGAAAATTAAGAAAATGTAGATAAAGATACTGGAAAGATACTGGGAAAAGCTGGAGCCTCGTGAAGTTAAGGAACTTTAAACCCTGGCCTACGTGACCCCAGAGCCTGTTCTCCTAAACACTTGACCTTGCTGTGGCTGAAAAGACTATAGCAGAGCTGGTGACAGGGCAGCCACGGCCCCCTGAACTAGCTCTGCTAAGCAGGAGGCTGGCTGTCTTCTATAAGTCAGGGAGGTGTTTGCTGAGGAGGAGACTGGAGTCTGGGGAAAATGAAGTGATGGGGAGCTCACACGAACTCATCCTGGTTCAGCACTCTGCCCTGTGGCCTGGAGAGGACCCAGAAGCAGAGCACTTAGGATGTTGACAGGGTGAGGACAGGGTGCCCTGCCATGTTTCAGCTGAAGCAAGAACGGAAACCGGGCCGTCCTTCACCAGCTATCAGGTCTTGTAGGTGAGGTGACTTCTCTGGGCCTCAGTGCCCATTTGTAAAATGGAAGCAATAACATCTGACTTGCAAGACTGTTGACTCAACAGAATAATCAATCCAAAAGACAACATGAGTTCTCGATGATCATTAGCTGAACGAGAGGGCAGAGGAGACCCTAAGAGAGTGATTTTCAGCTGATGTGCCGTGAACACTTTTAAAGACCATTAATTAAATTATTATCAAAAGAAGTTTAAAACACAATAAGTATATTATTTTTTTTACTCTCTTTTTTTTTTTGAAGTTTTTGGCCAGGGCTGGGTTTGAACCTACCACCTCTGGCATATGGGATGGCGCCTTACTCCTTTGAGGCACAGGTGCCGCCCCAATTTTTACTCTTTTTTTGATCAACATAATGTAAGTGTGCCGTGATGTGCTGTGAGATAAAGAAGGCTGAAAACTCTGCTCACAGTGATGATTCATGCTGGGAAGATGATGCCCTTTGTCCTGCTGGATCCTAGAGGACACAGACTATGTTCATTCAGGTCAGTGTCCCCAGCACCTGGCTTAATTTCTAGTCCACGCTGGAGACTGTATAAAATGTGCTATATCAAATTACATTTTCTATCTAATTAATTTGCATCAAATTAGGCCTGGTTCAAAAGAAACACGAAAACCGGACCTGTTATAATCAGATTATGCAAAGGAGAAAGAAACAGACTTAGAATTTTCATTTCCACTTAAGAATTTCAATGAAAGAGACAACTTAGCGTTGAGAACCTGAACTTGGATGGAGAAAGTGAGTGAAGCGGGCATGAACCCACCCTGCGTGGTGCGTGCTGAGGGACAGTGTGCCGGCTGCGAGGGGGCCCTTCAGCACCTTCTCCGGGTGCTTGTGCCCTCTTGTCACCCAGGGCCATGCCGGTCTCTGAAGCAAGTAGATAGGATGCTTACCTGTGGACTCGATGTCCCCGACTTAGGCTCAATGGCCAGCCCCAGAGTGACACCGCCCGCCAGCGCCTTCTTCAGGCTCTCCTTGACCTCGGTGAGCTCCAGCTCCAGGTTGACACGCTCTGATTCTTTCTGCCGACACTCCTCCTCCAGCCTCTTCAACTTGTCCTCCAGGACACCCTGGGTCTTCCTGCCTGGAACCCCAGAGGGACACGCTGCTCCAACATCAGGCACAGACTCTCCGAGTAAGAGGGGAAAGGACATCTGGCCTGTCTCAGGGTTTCTGGAAAATGTTTCGGGGGGAGCTTCCCTGATGCAGGTCCTTCCTGCAAACTGAAGTCCAGCTGCTCTTCACAGGACCAGAGTCCTTCTCCACCACCTGCCTTTACTGCAGCTTCAAGGACACAAGCAGGAAACGGGACTCTCTGATTCTTACAAATCCCAAATCTTAGGTCTAGGCCTCAGTGCACTGACTTAAAAATGTGGAACTCAAACTGGATGTTTCCCAAAGGTGCCATTGCCCTAACACGAGTCTGACCATTGCTCTTTCCTGATGCCTTCACCAGTTACTGAGTCAGCTTCAATCACAAGCAGCAGCCAGCTAGCTTCCCTGTGGGACTTGGTGTACCTTTCTATAAGGCACAGAGGCTTTACTTACTTCATTTGAGATCTGTTACAGTGACCTCAAATGGCAAGCACTATACCCACTGGACAGAAGAAAGAACTGATCTCAAGAGGGGAACAGACTGTGCTGGGCCCTGGATGGTGCTGGCCAGCACTCAAGTTGTCTTTTTCAAGGCCAGAACTCTCCCAGCCTTCCTGCATCCCGCTACCCTGAGGGCTGGGGGAACAGGAGGAGGGAATGCTCCTGCCTCACTAAGCTCAATGCCCCCTCCCATTCTTGGACTTCTACCCCTCCCAGGTACCCCCACCCCAGCCACATCCTGCCTCCTCTTACAGGGTCAACCTGACTCACTCACCCACACCTGTCCTCCCACCCTGAAGCCCCATCAGCCCCTCCCTCCAGCTGTAGTCAGGAAAGGCTCGAGATGTGATTAACTCCTTGCCGTGCACGAGCTGACTTTCTTTAACCTCCCAGTCCCGGCAGCATCTGTACTGCAACTTTTCTCACCCCCAGGCTGCAAAAAACCCTAAATCTAAAGACTAAGATCTGCCCCAGCATAAGACCCAGCTGGGACTGATGCAGTATACATGTGAGCAGTTCCGCCCCAGTGTCAGCAACTAAACACCCAGTTCCTGCTGGGAAGAATCAAGAAGCTGGGCCCAATGTACTGTTCTAACTCCCGACTCAGCTTCCCAGACAACTGTGCCTTTCTTTACTCTTAGTCCCTCCCTGGGAGTTTGGATTCTACTCAACTGGCTTCCTCCCTGATGAATTCCAGGACTCAGACACTGCCTTGCTCTCCCTGTCCCTTCTCAGGGGAGAGAGGGCTACTTCTCCCTATGCAGAGACCGCTTCTCTTACCTGGACTTCTGAACATTACTTATCTGTGTGGGCTGCCCTGCTGCAGAGAAATCCTGCTGATTCATCTGATACAGTGACCAGAATCGACTGAGACCCGCAGACACAGGAGTCATCCTGCAGATGATCTCTGGTCAGCACCTAAAGCTGGATGGAGTCCCCAGCATCGCTGCTGCCTCAGTGGGCAGCCTGAGGGTCAGGCCTTGGCCACTGCTACATAATTCAAACATACTGGCACCTGCTGTGAGCTTATCAGCAATGCTTGCAAACCCAGAGAAACATTGTGTGGACTAATGTCCTCTTACTAAATAAAACCATAGCCTGGGTGAGTCCCAGATCCTTTGGGCTAAGCAGGACTAAACATACAATCGTCAACACAGTCACTTTGGGGCAGTCAGAACCAGAACTTTCATACCAGCATTGACTTCAATGGCCGCTCGAAGGTCTTTCCTTTCTTTTCGGAGCTGGGCCAACCTATTCCTCAGGGCTTCTTTCCTCTTGAGTAGCTCCTCTTCTTTGGTCTGTAACCTCTTGGCATCTGCTTCTACCCGGTTCTTGCCGTACTTGTACTGGTCGGCATCTTCAAAAGAAAAAACAGCAGCCACAGCAACTCAGCTTTAATCAGCAGATAATGGGGTAATTTGTAAAGTTTATTAATCAGCTAACTCAGTAAACTAAACTCAAAGCTAGTTATTTGGATAATTCAACAAGGAAAAATCAGGACTGGTTTGAACTAAGCATAAAAGTGACTAATTCTAATTTTCTGATATTCACTGAATCAATTATTTTTAAAAGAGAATCTTAGGAAATGCATTTAATTTCCTTTCCTTTGAGGCATACAACTTATTAATCTTCAACAAGGTTGAAAGTGAACATTCTAGAATTTGAAAAGATAGGAATCTACTACTATCAAAAATAATGTCCTGGGTTTACACAGTTTTCTGGATTTTTCAAAACACCTCCATAGCATGGCACTATTTGCTCCTTACAACCATGTGGTCTGTTTTGCTCCGCCTTGATGCAGCATCCCGGTGTGAGAGCACCGCCTGGAAGCAGGTGAGCACAGGGGAAATACTTGCTGAGTGAATAAACGAAAAAGGAAAAAATGAAGAGGCAAGACAGAAGACTATCTGGAGCCTGTCTATGGGTGGCCCTTGCCACCGGTAGCTGCTAGCTGCACAGCTTTGAACAAGGCACTTAATTCCTTTGTGCCTTCGTTTTCTCATCTGTGAAAGCGAGATAAGAGCAGGTAGTTCCTGGAGTTGTTATGAAGAGTAAATTGATTATTTATAAAGCACTTTAGACAAACACAAAAATAAGCACTACACAAAAGCTTGCTTAATAAAATGAATAAATGAATGAATGAAAAGGAGACTAGTTGGGCGGTGCCTGTGGCTCAAAGAAGTAGCACAAGTTAACTCGGCACCAAACCCCAACCCTGTGCTCTCCTCCTCTTGCTATGTTGGCTTCTCTATGATAGTAATTTGGGGAAGAACACTTTGGAAAAATACATTAAAGAAATGAAGCTTCTAACAAATCTCTGATCAAGGATCACCAATTTCGAAGCTTCAACTATCTCCCAAATGCTTGTAACAATCACTCTCACCTGACTCAAAGCCTTCTATGCTTTGCGCACACCTTTACCATTCCATGTGGCGCCTGTCTGACTCACTCACTAGACGAGACACTGCTTTGGGGTAGAAGCCACGGAGGGCAACATAATGGCTCATAATAAAAACACTGGACTCAGAGAAGTGGCTGTAAATCACACACTATCCCTTCCTTGCTAAATGATTCTGGGAAAACATTCAATCACCCTAAAACCTCAGCTTCACCCTCCATAAAGCAGGAATAAGGAGGACTACCTTCTGGTGGTTATTAAAAAGTTAGATCTATGCACCTTAAAAGAAACCTAGCCAAATGATCTGATGCCTGGACGTAGTGGCCACTCCCTAACAGGTGTCTCCACAATCAGCGATGACAGACACCCCAGAGCCTGTCCACGCGGAGACAGGATGGGAACATTTTTAGCACCTGTTCTAAAGCCTGGATTTGCCAATTCTTGCAGGGTAAGCCATCACGATTTCAATAAAATATTGCACTTATGAAGGCATAGAGAAAGATATCACTCTCCAATTTTCCCCTCACCAAAGAGAAACCCCAGAATGCTACTAAAAGGATTGGCAGCCTGAGGACAACCAATCACAATGTGCTCGTGGCTAAGGTAATGATGTAATCTGCAAACTGGGCCAAGTCCAAACTCTACCACTCCACACATTCATTTCTAAACTAAGGTGTTTCCCAAACAAATTGCAATGGCATGTGCGATAACCTAGGAATTTCCATACCTTTTGGTCCCTATGCAATAAATCCTGGACAATCTATAAGGCAAGTAGCTAGATTCAGGAAAAACACAGAATGCAATTATTTGCCCGTTTTGTTGCCATGAGATGTCACCAAAGGTAATAAAAATTCCCTACAGAAGGTCTTATACAATAAAGGAATAAATCATTTAGGAAATAAAACAAGCTTAAGGTACAGAGAGGGAAATACTGTGGCAGCCAACACTTTACGTGATTCAGCTCCTGCTTAACAAAGCTTTCCGGGCACCACTCATCCTTTTCCCTACTATCCCTTCCCCAAACAAACCTCACTAAAAAAGTGAGTATGAACACCCCAAACACATCAGCGAGATAAGACAAAGTAAGTCAGCACCCTAAATAAATGATAGAAGGATGTGGCCCAGCTGGCTGCCAACCTAGCTCCTTGAATCATACACCCGGGTAGAACAGAGACAGAAGATTAGTAAAGAACACACGAGTTTCCCTGGGGCAGAGCAGCACAGTGCTGCTCACCAGTTCCAAGGCTTGTCCAGGTAAATGGCCACAGACAAAGCCAGGCTTTGTTTTGCAGTATGCCACAGGGCAGATGGGTGTCAGCCTCTGTCCCCTTCACACCTGCTGCAGAGGTTACCAGCTGGAGCCCACCAGCCTCGTCTCCATCTCCACTAACGCACAGACTGGTCTACTAGTTGTATTAATCTGCATCTGAACACTTCTAGCATAAATCCCAAGTAACACTGGCATGTAACCACACCAAGCCCAGTATTCACTTCTAAATCCCAACTTCCTCCTCTGGGAAAGCTTCTCAGACAAGCCTGAGGGAACCTGGAGCTCCTGAGCCTTGTCACACCTCATGCTGCAGCCCTTACTCTGGCTTATATGCATGTGTAACTCTCTGCTGGACAGAAGCCACTTGCTGGCCACTGCTCTCTCTCTTATCCTGACACTCTGAAAAAAGCAGAGTGCCTTGAGAAAATGAACGCTGCCTGGCTGGATGGCTGATCAGACATCCAACATGATGAGCACTAAGGCAAATATGAACACACAGAGATAACAGTTTCTCTCTGGGTGCACCTGTCTGCGCTAAGCGAGGGGCCCCACATTCAGCGGCTGTGCCTCTCCTGTCTTGCCCTTCTCTGGCCAATCGATTTCCAGCTAGATTCGCCAGCTTTGAGCCCACAGGGGAGCCACTTAATCACCTGGAGATTCTTTTCTCATTTGCACAGTGAGGTGGATGGCAATATCTCGGTCTATGAAGTGGCCATGAGAAATAAACGGGGAGGGAGAAACGGCAGCATGCTGTAGACTGCGCCCGCCGCGGGATTAGTGCTTCCTATAAATCCTGCATTACTCTAGTGCTTTTAGGTACATGTTTCACCGCAATCGTTTCGATTGGCGTTTCCGCACAAGCCACTTGTCTATGTCTAACAGATAAAGGCTGAGTTTAGAATATTTACAGACGTCAACAGCAGATGAGGGACACAAACCAAAGTGCCCCAACACAGAGCCCGGGGCCACCTGGAGCTGCTCGCACTGCATCAGTACCACAGCTAACAAACCAGCTCAGGTTTCCTCCCACATGCAAGTCGTAACGTTGGGTTAAAATCATCGCTTTCCTCAAACCAGCTGAAGAGTAGGAATGCCAGAGCCCCTGGTGCCAGCTCTAACCATCCTCCAAACTGGCACTGCCTGGTAAGCAGGCCAGAAAGCCCCAGCTTTGCAAACGGCACTTAAAACCAGAAGCACGAAAGTCAGGATAGACTCACTGGAAGCTGTCCGTTTCACACCGGCCGCTGCATCTGCTTTTTTTGGCTGACTGCTCAGAGTCTTCCCTTTTCCTGTGACCCCGTTAGATGCCACTGGGGGCTTTTTGCTCTTCAACTGTTGAAATAAACATATAAGAAAATTAAAATCAAAATAAAAGGAAAAGTCTTTCTTTTCTCTCTGTAGTAATTTCTTTCAGTCTCTTTTTTTTTTTTTTTTGAGACAGAGTCTCACTATGTCGCCTGTGGTAGAGAGCTGTGGCATCACAGCTCACAGCAACCTCCAACTCTTGGGCTTAAGTGATTCTCCTGCCTCAGCCTCCCAAGCAGCTGGACCACAGGTGCCCGCCACAACAGCTGGCCATTTTTGGTTGTAGTTGTCATTGTTGTTTGGCAGGCCCAGGCTCTGATGTATGTGGCTGGCACTTTAACCGCTGCACTATAGGCGCTGAGCCAGTCTCTGACTTTTTAAGTAGAGTCTAGCACAGATGAAAAAAATATGAAGGTAAAAGAAAACCAACGTAGTTTACAAACGTTTACTATTGTGACTTTCCTGGCATGGCTAAGAAGTATCTAGCATCAAGTATCAAAATTAAATGAGGCTGGTCAGGCACAGTGGCTCACGCCTGTAATCCTAGCTGAGCAACAGTGAGACCCTGTCTTTACTGATATTAGGGGAAATAAAACAAAAAACCCAACTAGCCAGGCATTGTGGTGGGTGCCTGTAGTCACAGCTACTTGGAAGGCTGAGGCAGGAGAGCTCTTGAGCCCCAGAGTTTGAGGTCTATGAGCAAGGCTGATGCCATGACACTCCAGACTGAGTGACAGAGTAAGACTTGGTCTCAAAAAAGTAAAAAAATCAATCAGGTTCTCTGGGATGTCTTGGCTGCAATGCTGCAGAAGTCACACATTTCTGCTGGGAGATCACAAACGCTAACCATGAAACTGGCACAGGCAGCTGACTGTGTAGAGCCTTCTGTGGAGACTGTAAAGTCTGCTCAGGAGAAACAGCTTTTACTTTAGGGGGATGCTTTCGAGGGCAGTAGCGTGACCCTGAGTTATAGCTGCTTCCTGCTGCTCCCCAGGCTTTCCTACTGAGTGCCACCCTGAAGGGGAAGCACCTGCCTTTGACTCGGCGAGGGGTCTGAGGAAGGAAGCAAGAGAAGCCTAACACAGAAGAGTGAATAATCTGGAAACTAAATCCCCACTAACCACAGGTTTAACAGAAACTAAATAGTACCCCTACTTCTTTGATTGCTGCAAGCCAACTGATGCTGTATTTTGTTATATTACGTGTACCCTAGTTGTGTAATAAATTCAGCTCAATAGCAAAGGCTAACTCTAGCTCTCCAAGCCCATCATAGTGTATTTCCTTTCATGGAGGGCTGCGGTTTGGGGGAGGCATATGGAGCTAGCTTCAAATTGCAGCTCCATCATTTGGAGATGCTAAGCAAGTCATTAAGCTTTCTGAGCCTCCGTGTGCTCATTTAAAAATGAAAAGATACGGACACCTCCCCACACTGTTCCTGAAAAGATTAAATGATGCAACCATACACATATAGCACATGGCACAGACCAGACACACATACAGCTAACGGCACACACCACGCACACATACAGCACACACCACACACACACACACAGAGCACACACCACATACAGCATACAGCGCACTGCACACACCACATACACCCCACACACCACACACACAGCACACACCATGCACACATATAGCACACGGCACACACCATACATACACACAGAGCACACACCACACACATAGCACACACCACACACCACACACACCACACACACAGCACATGACACACACTACACATAGAGCACATCCACACACACATACAGCATCTTGTGAGTGTTCAGTAAGTGTAAGGTCTCTCCATTAAATAATAGCTTCCCTCTGAAGCACCCAAATGAGGACCGGAGACCTCTGGGTAATATACAGTTCAACATGCAACACTGTTTCCTATTTAAACAAAAGCAAAACCAGAGGAACAGCAATAACATAAAAGCCCCAAACGCATCTCTGTATCGGAGGATTCCCAGCTATCCTGGAGAAATCCCAAATGTACAAAAATGGCACATGTGACTTCATGCTTTTCACCGACAGTGACTCTCACACCAATAAAAGGATAGATCATTACATGGACACATCCGCACTTAGTAAATGAAACATATACCCTACCAGGCACTGGCAAAAACCCTGGAGGACAGGGACCTGCTCCCTCACCTGACACAAATGTCTGGGCCCCTCAGATACACACACTCAGAATCTCCAGGGATGCGATCTGAGCCACTGTCATTTAAAAATCAAAACAAACAAAACCCTTCACATTTGATTTCTGATGAACCCCATATTTTGGGAGGTGCTATTCTAAGCTACTACTACCTAGAACTCTAGGATCTTACCTGGTTCATGATTTTATTAAGATTACCCAAAGAATGTAGAAAAAGAAAAGAAAAAAATTAAAACACACCCTTTTGCTTTACGTTAGCATTCCTACATGAAGTATTGCCCTTGTTCTTTTTAAAATCTTTGCTTTTAGTTGACATAATTCACAAAATTTACAGGGGAATTTTTCAAGAATAGAAGGAGTGCCAGACGCAGGCAAGGAAACACCATACTTAGATAAACTATGAACTAGTTAGGAATAGTTGTCAGTTCCTTGCTGGTCAAATTGCAAATTATATTCTAACTGAGGGAAAAATTGTGCTCTGCTTTTGCTGAGTCCTGTTTAGTACGTGTTAGAGGAGTGTGACTTAGAAAGTTGATTCTAGAATATCGTAGAAGGAGATGCTGTACCTGGGAGCTGGGCCCGAGAGACGCCCTCCCCACAGAAGAGGTATTAGTAACAGACGGAGTGGAGGCAGGGTGTTTGTAATGGTTAGAGGACAGCTTGTCAGCAGACAGCCTAGAAGCCTTCCTGTCAGCAGGAGAGTAGCGGGCAAAGATTTTTGGAGACGGCAAGTTATCGTACAGGCCTGCGTTATCATAGAGCACCTCTTCTCCCAAGCCTCTGCTACAGGACGCAGGAAAGCCATCTTCAGGTTCCCACTGCAACACACACAGCTTTGTCGTTAGTGACTTGGACACAGAAAACAGCAGATTTTAGCATAAAGAGATATCATTTAGCACAGCATTTAGTGAAGCTTCAGCAGCCCCAGCCCCTAGTTGGTATCAATGAAACCCTCCCACACACACGTGCACACAGGCAAGTGGACTGACTCTAAAGAATCTCACTTCAGGGGTCTTAAGGAAAAGTTACTTTTTCCCCTTAAACTGTTCCCAGGGCTGTTGGCTTATGAAATTTTTGTTTTTTCTGTTTTATAAAGCAGAAAAAACAAAAACAAACCCTGATTTGACATTTCCTATTCCAGAGAAGCAGAGTTTGGAAGCTCCCCAACCCCGGATGTGGAGGTGAAGTGAGGAGGGAACATACTGGCTCTACCAGAGACACGTGAATCTCAGCAATGTGATTTCACTTTGCAGCACTTCCTGGGTTCTGACCAACACCAGCTCTTTAACCTCCTCATAACCTTAGGAGGCAGGAGGAAACTGAGGCAGAGACAGGTTAAGTGGCTGCCAAGAGGCAGAGCTGGACACGTGATGCTGCCTCTGAGCCGCAGGCTTTCCTGGGCACAATGACCCCTCCACATGTCTCCACGTGCACTGTACAAGCCAATGATCTAAGTACAGGGCAACGGTCCTCCTGCGTCCCTCTGTGCCATGCTTTCCATGCCAAGGAAGAAAATGCCATGACCAAAACACAGTCTGTAAGGGAAGACATCACATCATGACGGAAAATGGGATGCTTCCAAATCTAACTGATATAATGGCATTATTTTAGTGGAAAACCTTTAATGAAAAACTAAAATAGCTACATGCCATTTCATGTGACAGAAGAATTTGAAAATATAAACATTAAAGCATAAATTCAAACCCAAACTAATAACCACAGCCAGAGCCCTTCAAGTTTTAAAGGTCTTTATAAATTGCTTGCATCACGACAAAGGCGACATGAACCCTCATACTCACTTCACCCTGTTTTTATAGTTTTCTGGGCAGAGGTCCTTTCAGCCAGACTATAATTACAGCCTTTTGTTTTAAAAATAGAAAAGATTTTTAATTCCACAGTAGGAATTTTTTTCCTTGCAATCACTTTGCTATGTCTATTTTTGTGCTGCTGGGGACCAATCTACAATCTAAAAATAACAGCACACGCAGATACGCTGGCTGTGAGAGTTCTGTAATGACAACCTAGCACGTATTTATCCCAAGCGATTAAAATGGTCTAGACTAGACTATCATTTTCCTAAAATACCCAGGATTGAGTCACACGGGAGACTCAGAAAATACAAGGGACCTCACATAAGTTTCTAGATTAAAAGTGTGAGTAGGCCACTTTCATCCTGGATTAATCATCAGGAAACAATGAATGGGTACAAATTACTAAGTTGAAATGCTGCTAAAAGGACGGATGTTGGTCATAAAGTACAAGCTTTATAAAACCTTGAAATGAGTCTCTCCAAAAAGACAAATTACCTGGTAACAGGTCTGACATGTAGAAAAATAGTTTAAGGAAGGGTCTGCACAGAGAAAGCGCTTAGTAAGCAAAACGCATGAATATACACATAGACATCATGTCATAAAGCCTCCACTGCCAGCCCAGCAGCGCACACATTCAGAGACAATTCCCAAACACAAAGTCCTCCGAGAACGGCAGATTTTATTTCCAAAACACCTAAAGCAAACTCATTCCTGGGGTAGCTGGACCAGGGTGCTCAAAGTCTGAATAGCATGAGCCGTGGGGGATGATGTGTGCAGTCCTGGGCTCCCATGCCATGCAGCTCACACCACTGTCCAGGGTTAGGGATATGCTCGGAGAACACCGTGGAGGAGCAAGGATGCCAGGGGGGAGGGCCAGGGAAAGGATTCTGTGCCATCTTTCCAAAATAACTGAAGGCTAAGATCAAAGGCTCAGAAGAGCACATCATTTCCAAGATGAGTTGGCAACTAGAGCCTAAAACCACAGACAAACCAGTCTGTAGAGAGACACCAGTCAAGACACAGTACACATGGAGGCCAGAAGAGTTTGACAGTGGCATTGGCCTGAATCACGGGCAGACACTATATGGAAAGCCCTGCTCTGCACTGGCCGCCGGATCTAGGGTGGAATGTAAAGGCAGCTGGGCTGCTCCCTGATGCTGTCCCGACCTGATTGGACGGATCTGGGGGTGAGGGGGGTATGAAGGCGGCTGGGCTGCTCCCTGATGCTGTCCCATGTGATTGGATGGATGGAGGGGGGGTATGAAGGCGGCTGGGCTGCTCCCTGATGCTGTCCCCACGAGCTGCCATTACCCTGCCCAAACCCAAGGCGCTGGGCTGCTCCCTGATGCTGTCCCATGTGATTGGATGGATCTAGGGGGGGTATGAAGGCGGCTGGGCTGCTCCCTGATGCTGTCCCCACGAGCTGCCATTACCCTGCCCAAACCCAAGGCAGCTCTCCCCTCATTGCCTCACTCCTGCTAGACTAGGGTTGGGGGGGCTGAAGGGACAAATAATATCTCATCTGTAATTTTTAATCCCTAGCACAGAGCCTGGCCACTAGGAGTCACCAGCAAATAAGGCAAGGCGTGAAGAAGGTGGGGAAGAGGAGGTCGCTGTTTAGAGCCCAGTAGGGGCCCTGGCAGGAATGCAGGGAGAGAGCACTTCCAAGCAGAAGGCCCAGACAGACCCCAACCCCCAGACCACCAAGCAGAAGGCCCAGACAGACCCCAACCCCCAGACCACCAAGCAGAAGGCCCAGACAGACCCCAACCCCCAGACCACCGTGTGCCTCCTCGCTCTGGACACACTCATCACGTCCGACATGAAGCACAGTGACCTCCTTTCCAGTCTGTTTACAATCAAACTCTAGGAGTCTTTAACCCCTCCCTGCAGGGGCAGGTGTGGTTTTGTGATGCTAGGTAACAAACAGCTGATTTTGATAGCATCCATTAAGATAGAGGAGAAAAGTCAATCTGTAAGAAAATAGTCTAAAATGTATTCAAATGCTGAAAAAATAATAACAGACACACTCTGTGCCCACCTTCGTAAAACAACATAGGCGCCAACTTTACACCCACCCCATACTGGGAGACAAGACCAGGCCTCTCACTCGGCTGCTAGCCCGTTCAGGCCTCATCTCCGTTCAGGCCTCATCTCCGTAGGGCTGGAGCTAGATACAGGGCCGGGTGAGAGCAGCTGCTCAGTAAGCACAGTCAGATGAGCAGTGTGGGGACATTTATCAACAAGTCTGCTGATTACACATGAGACAGAAAATGCTGAGAGCAAATTTAAAACTCCTAAGGCCAAACGTGGAGACTAGCTTGGTACCAAAGAGCTGCGACTAAACATCTCCACTGCTTATGTACAGATATAAAATAATGTCAAGCTGGCCGTCAGGGCCCAGTTATTCCACATCGACGAGGGAAGTTACCTTGAGTTTGAAATACAGTCATTACTCACTGTTCCTTCCTGATGGTGATTTTTCAGCATGTTTATCATATCTAGAAATTAGCTATTCATCGATAATTTACACTGTGTTATATTTTGACTTATCTAGTTATCTGAGTTATTAGTTACTCTACCATTCTTTGGTCAATATTTTAATGTATACTGATGTTTAATTAATGGCATTGACATTAAATGACAAACCATCTTCTGGTGCCAAACTACCATGTGTTCAAATGTTAAGAACAGCATCTTTAAGCCAGCAATGGTGTGAAGAAGGTCAGAAGCAGCAGATGAGAGAGGAGAGATGGAGTTTTCCTCCTGCTTCAAAGCATTTTTTTAAAAGTCTTATCTCATTCAGACTAAAGCCAGGGCATTAAAGTACAGAATTTTCCAGATAGCCTTGCCTTCAAACAAAACCAACTGTTTACCCTGGAAAAGTGGCACACTCACCGAGCCGTTGATGCAGGGGACATCGTCGTAATGCAGCGCTGTCCCACTGGGGTGCGCGTAGCCGTTGGAGGTGCCCCCTAGATACGGGTTGGTAGATATGACACGCCTGTTCATGAAGCTGAAAGAAAGGGCGTAAGTTAACATCCAAAACCTTTTTTTTACCCCAATTAATCAACAAGTCTTCAGCTCTGCCTTTATGCCCAAGGCTGTATGAGAGGCCATGGGGGCAGAAATGGGATATTAGGCTGCAGAGCCTGGACACACCCCTCACCCATGAGACGAGGACGGCATGCCCCCTGCAGAGTGGCAACAAGGCCTGGTGATGTGTTTGATAGCTACATAAAGCAATGCCTGCAAACAGCAAGCACTCAATATAAGCCAACGATTTTGATTATTATCAGTTTTTGACAGTGGCCAGCTCCTCTCACAGCCTGATTTTGTAATAAAGTCTTATTGGAACACATGTTTCTTTTATGAGTTCATTACCTCTCAAGGTGACCATATGGCTAGCAAAGGTGACATATTTACTATTTGGCTTTTTTTTTTGCAGTTTTGGCCAGGGCCAGGTTTGAACCGACCACCCTGGTATATGGGGCCAGTGCCCTACTCCTTGAGCCACAGGCATCACCCCTAGTTGGCTTTTTGTTGAAAAACCTCATGGACCCCTGGCCTAGAAGCTCTTTAGAACGTTTATTTGACAAGTATTTATAGCATTCTCAGGTTCATTCAGCATCACAGCCACATCAGTACAACTTACCTTCACCTCTTCCCTCAATTTCCCTCAGTTTTGGAGACAGTGGCTGACAGTGGCTGTAGAAACCCTTTAGAATGTGTGATATTACGATACAATAACAGATGTATGCTTTGGTCTTTGTCCCAAATTCCTGGCCAGTGCTCCTAACACCTTGGGATCTCCTAAATGATAAGGCCTTACATTACACATTACAGATCATCTTTTATTAATTCATAACAAGCCCCTTTCAACCATATAAAAGGTCATATGAACACGGTGACCTGCCAGAGAAACCAGCCACATGACTACAAGGTTGAAACTTTTAGTTCCATAAAAACCCTTAACACATGGACTCTTTTAAATTTATATAGGAATTCTTCCTTTGCTTAAGAAAAGTTAATGGAATTATTCTGTACGTATGACACATAAAAGTATATATAAGAAAAGAAATCATTTAGAACTGGGTGTGGTGGCTCATGCCTATAATCCTTGCATACCGGGAGGCTGAGGCAAGCAGATTGGAGTCAGGAGTTCAAGACCAGCCTGAGTGAGAGTGAGACCCTGTCTCCACTAACCAAAGAAAATAACCAGGTGTAGTGGCAGGTGCCTGTAGTCCCCAGCTACTCAGGAGGCTGAGGCAAGAGGATCACTTCAGCCTCAGAGTTTGGGATTGTTGTGAGCTATGATGCCATGGCTCTCTAACCAGCAGAGTGAGATTCTGTCTCAAGAACAACAAAAAAAGGCACAGCAAAACTTAAAATCTGAGTTCTCCAATAACAGATTCTGATTTTCTAACTGAAATATTTTGGAGGTGTGGGGTAATTGTGTACAGTTGCTGTCAGTGAGAGGCAGTAAAGGGCTGAACTAACCACGCCCAGCCACAGGGACCCCTCCCTCCCATGTCTGCCTACACGATTTGCTCCTCTTTGCAGCAGGGACTGTTTCGTGCTTGGTCTGCAGTGTGGGCTTCCAGCCCTGCCCCTGCCACACACTCTGATGCACAGATTCTGGGATGCAGCAGAACAGACGAGGCCAGACAGAGTGCCTGGACAGGTGCACACCTGCTTCCTCCCAGGAGGAGACACTGCTGAGGGTTTCAGTTGGTAGGACTCAGAGCCTGAGAATTAGAGGTCCTAGGTAGAGGGGAGGAGCCAGCCACTGGTCAGCCCTCCCCTTATACAGAAGGACCTGCGCCTGGTGAGCAAACAATTCTTCCAGGCCCAGAGACTTGAAAGCCAAATCTACAAGTGGAAATGCGGTAAGAGGCGATGTGCCACTTGTTAAACCAGAAGCATAAGAAAATCATAGGAAATATATTTTAAAATAATCTCCTAGGCACCTGGATGAGAGGATGACAGAGGAGGACCACTTCCTGCCAGGTGTTCCCTGCCCTTGGCCACACGAGCCATGGTCATTACCATCACATCTTCACTGCAGCCTTCTGATGGGTCACCAACTGAGTGTGACTCGGGAGGTATCTCAGGAGAAAACTACAATATTTTCTTGTATTCTATAATCTATATATTTCATTTATTTTTTATTTTTTTTTGAGATAGAGTCTCACTTTATCACCCTGGTAGAGTACCACGCATCATAGCTCACAACAACCTCAAACTTTTGAGCTCAAAAAGTGATCCTCTTGTCTCAGCCTCCCAAGGAGCTGGGACTACAGGCACCTGCCACAATACCCAGCTACTTTTTTCTAATTTTAGTAGAGATGGGGGTTTCACTCTTGCTCAGGCTTGTCTAGAGCTCCTGAACTCAAGTGATCTTCCTGCCTCAACCTCCCTAGTGCTAGGATTACAGGTGTGAGCCACTGCGTTGGCCTATATAACTCATTTAAAAATATGCTCTCAGGAATATATGTTCCAATAGTTTATTGTTATTAAAGTTTCTCTATAAATCACTTTACCTAGGAGAGCTCACACCACTATTTTTCCTTTTCCTTTCCTCTTTCCAAAACATGTTTTTTAACCAAGACATATACCATGCACAGATAATTCTCCCAAAAACCTGGAGAAGATTCACTGGCTGCCAATTTATATAAAAGCAAAAACACTTAATCTTAGAATATTTATCACATTGGCAAGCTGCTGTACTTTGAACACTGTTTACTTGTTAAATCTCATTTCTCAAGTTTTACAGGAATGTTGGCTAGAACACTTAAAAATGAAAATAAGGTTTCTTGCTTACTGATATCGCCTATACGTATTTTAATGAAACAGAAAAGATTCTTGCAGTCATAAATTCAGTATATGCATATTTTTAATGAATAATTTTTCAAAGCTATAATTCATATTCCTTTCTAAAAATGTGACCTTCCTGCATTTGGTTTAGATTAACATTCCACTCATTTATAAAGTAAAAACGAGCTGTGTTCTAAGGGAAATATTTTAATTCAGCATTTTTCTTAAATGTGGGTGTAAGTTTGCCAATTACAATTGAAATTACATGTGTACCTAGGATAGGCTTTTCTGGAAATCTAATAACTTCCAAACAAGTAAATATCCATGAACACATTTACGTCAATCTAGTTGTACAGATTTTGCAAAACTAGATTAATAGATATTATATTTCTTAAAAAAGCTACGGCAGGTCAGGTGTGGGCCTAGCACTCTGGGAGGTGGAGGTAGAGGCAGATGGATTGCCTGAATTCAGGAATTCCAGACCAGCCTGAGCAAGAGGAGATCTATCTCTATTAAAAATGAAAAACTAGACTGGCATTGTAGTGGCACCTGTAGTCATAGCTACTTGGGAAGCTGAGGTAAGAGGATCACTTGAGCCCAAGAGTTTGAGGTTACTGTGAGTTATGACGCCATGGCACTCTACTACCCAAGGCGACTGAAGGAGACGCTGTTTCAAAAAAAAAAAAGTAAATGTACTTTATCTATTGCATAGCACTTAATAAACAGATGAATTACTGTAACTTACCTACATTTTGCTGATTAGAAAGAATGCAAATAAACAACTATGGGCATCAACAGAACAGTTAGTACTTAGCAACACTGTTATGAAAATAATAGTGGTATGAAAAGTTTGCTCAAACCTCAGAAAACCTCTAGCATTACTGGGCATTTTCCAGAAAAGAAGTATACAAGACTAATTCACTTTGTCAAGGCTACTGACCTTAGTTGGGACCTACATGATGGCTTGACTCTTAGCCGGGGCCAAAGTTATCTTTATTTTGAGAAAACCTATTTCTTAGTGCCAGAATGTCACAGACAAGCATTAGATAAATGTTCATTCCCATTCAAGACACAAGTGAAGACTGCCCCAATACCATATAACACACTTGTGTAGAAAACCGATGGGGGTGTTCACATCAGTCAGCCAAGTAACAGTGCAAACATTAGAATCTATTTTCCTCATACTTGAAAGGCCCTGCAGTCTGAGTCAGCACTGGTGGGGCTGTTGCTTTGGATAAACATGCCAACAATTTCTGGTGTATGTTTTGTCTCAATACCCTTCCCCAATCCACAGTTTCCAAGGATGACACAAATATGAGCAGGACTCAAGGGATCAAAGATCTCAGAGACAGAAGACGTTTCAGGCACCGTCTCTCCTAACACATTTTCTACATGAAGCAGCGAAGGCACTAACAGGTCATGAATGGCTTGTGTGAACATTTCTGATTAGCAAATACCAACCATAGCAAGACCCAAACTAAGAGAAGTGTTCAAATATCTTCTGTATGTGAAATTAAACCTGAGACATTTATTTTTATTTACTTAAAAATAATAAATCCATAATATTTTGACATAAATATTTTTATGATAATCATTTTCTTTTTTTTCTTTTTTTTTTTATTGAACGGTAACTATGTACATTAATGCACTTCTAGGGTACAGTGTGGGGTTTTCACATGCAATCTGAAATACTTCCATCAACTGGTCAACACAGCCTTCATGTCATTTTCTCAGTTATTGCTTTAAAACATTCACATTCTACTCTTAGAAAGATTCACCTGTACCCCTATAAGGTAAACCTCAGAAGTAATCCCTCCTAACTCCCTCCCTCCACCCATTCCCCCCTCCCTTCTCCCTCCCCCTCCCCATATTCTTAGGCTATTTGGTTATAGCTTTCATATAAAAAGGTTTAAATTAGTTTCATAATAGGGGTGTGTACATTGGATATTTTTTCCTCCATTCTTGTGATACTTTGGATAATCATTTTCTAAAACAAAAAACTATTAGTGAAACAAGTGGCATTGCTTTCCATGTTTGTAAACCTAACTATTATCTGGCTGAGCAGAAGCTGGATCCTCACCCGGCACTCAGTCTGCACCACATGTTCTTCTGACTGAGGAGGTAAAGATACCCAGCCTCAGACAGGGAGGTAGCTGGACAAGTCAGGCGTATTTTAATAGCTTTTTTAGATATCTGTAAACATTCTTCTTTGATACTACACCTAAACTCAGCAAACAGTACTTTCTTAGCTATAATACAGAATGTGAGGTCATGTCCGTAAACTGACATTAACACCCCTTAGTTTATCTTGCCTTTGCAATGTCTCTTTCACCCAGACCTACCCTTATGTCAATTTTTCAAGTGTTGACACATTTCATTACACAACATTTAAAAAACCACTCACCGGTAACACTATAGATCTCAGCACTAGACTCTGTAGGTGTTGGGAAGCTGGCAAGCTCACGGTGGTGGGCATGAATTTTCCAAAATTCTAATTTCTGAGTGAAAACTCAAATACATCAAAGGTAACAAAGAGAATGTCTACAAATATGTAAGTGTGAATAACCATAGTTTGCCTGTCACTTGTTTTTTCAAGTAAGAATTAAAAACTAATTTTGTTAAAGGCAGCTAGCTCTATTAGCAACTCAGCTGTCTGAGAGCTTTCCTCAGGAGCCCGCCATCACTCTCACATATGGGGGATGTTTGACAGCTACCTAGGACTTCACACAGAATGTAAAAAGACATGGACCTGAAAGATTTAATAAAAACATTTACCATTTGGCCTTTTAAAGAAAAAGTAACAGTTTTTACTGCTTCAGCAAGGACATCTTAAGCGGACCCAGCACTTTCTTCTAACGTTGCAGATGCACAGTGGTGATGAGCACCACGACCCCTGATGCCGTGGGGTGGCACTGCTATTTATGGTGAGGTGTCAGCTGACTATCCCTAACACACATGTCAGAACAGTGGAAAAGGACATGCCTGAATATTATTACGAAAATAGTTTTGACCTTGTAGGCTACCTGAAAGAGTCTTGAATACCTCCAGGGGTCTGTGGATCACACTGAGAAGTAGCTGTAAATATCTTTGCTGTCCTTATTTTAAAGAAGCATTCACAGGTCAAAGGGGCATTTTTACACACAAAAGCATTTTTTAATTACAATTCAAATTTACAAAGCATTTCACTGATGAACAGCACCCATTATAGCAACATGTAGAATCATGTTTGCTTCATAGAACTGTTTTCTAATAAAGGGGTAGGCACGATATGGGCCAAATTGGGCCTATTTGCATATAAAGTTTTATTGGAAGGTCAGGTGCATGGGCTCATGCCTGTAATCCTAACACTCTGGGAGGCCAACGTGGGGTGATTGCCTGAGCTTAGGAGTTTAAAACCAGCCTGAGAAAGAGTGAGACCCTGTCTCTAGACCTAGCCAGACAATGTGGTGGGCACCTATGGTCCCACTTACTACAGAGCTGAGGCAAGAGAAGCCCAAGACATTGAGGTTGCTGTGAGCTATGACACCACAGCACTCTACCCAGGGGAACAAAGTGAGACTCTGTCTCAAAAAATAAATAAATAAAAATAAAGTTTTAAAAATAAAGTAGCTGTCTTTGGCTACACTAGCAGAGCGGAGTGGTTATAAACAGGGAACACTTGGTCCTGGTCCTCTACACAAGTTTGCCATCCCTGTTCTAACCGAAAACCCAGAAGGCTGACACGACAAAAATATTTCAGCAAAATTTAGACTAACATAATACAAAAGAGAGAGTTGTTATTTTTTTCTGAGACTATATACTTACACAAAAACGGAGTTAAAAAATTAAAGAAAAGATAAATTTATTTAACTTTGGTGCCATTCACAGGACCCTGGGCCTTACCAAAAAGTCTGTTTGGCCGTCTGGATGACACTTGCAGACATCTCCACGTCTATGTAGTCGTAGTGCAGAGCCCCCGGGTCTGTGGACGACCCCGTCTCAGCTAGTAAAATTCCAATCCACCTGCCCATGTCTTCAGAAGAAGATGCCTGTTGTGGTGGGGATGGGGAGAGGGCATTTATTTAATTAACTAAAGATAAAGAGTTTTAAAATTTTCATAAATGTGTTGCTAAAGAGACCGCACAATAGGAGAAGCAATGAAACGTGAAGCACAGAGGATAGACAAGGAAGAAGACGAGGTCACTGCCTGAGTAACGGGATTGACATCAAGTCCCAAGTGGGCCTTAATGGAAGGAACTGGGTAACAATCATAACAAGGGGAATGAAAATCTCAGGTCCAAAAAAGCCTTCCAGTTATTTGGGGGAAAGGCATTTAGGGTGTAAAACAAGAAAATCAATGGGATTAATTACATTCCAGCGAAAGGAAGTTGGTTAGAAAGCTTCATTAATTTGGGAACAAACTCTGGCCATAAAAAGGAGTGCACTCCAACTGCCACTGGCCTGCCCTAGAGACACAGTCAAGGTGTGTCTCTTACTGGTTTAGGCCCTTATTGGTCTAAACTTTATTAATCTAGACTTTTTAAACCAGTAGCCCCTGAATGGGCCTTTAACAGTCATTCTGTTTCTCTTAATTAGATGGTATAAAAATTAACTTACTTTTATATCAATTACATTTCTATAGTGTAACCATGTTCATATACACTATTTCTTAAAATGTTTGAAATTCCCTCCAATTTGATCTGCTTAATTTGCAGGTCTAGAATATATATTTAAGATTCTATTCACTGAAGTTTCAAACCATCCTTGTTAAGTGATTTATAAAATCAGTTATGTTATATTTTTCACGGCATTTGAAATACCTAAATAAATTTGATTAATCAAGCAGGCTTGTCCAGCCTCTCCCCATTTCTGCTGTACAGTGGAATAAGAGTTGTCTTGGGTCACACGTTAAATACACAAACACTAATAAAAGCTGACTAGCAAAAAAAAAAAAAAAAGCTTCTCTAGAGGAAGAGCCATTAACAAAGGAAAGGCTATTTTTTTGTATGCTATTAAAATTGGCTACTGATATTTTCCACACACAGATCATTCCTGACCAGCACCAAATGAGGCCATTAGGGCAAAATGAAGGGATACCAATTATGGGCCTTGCCCAGAGTAAGGAAGTAACTAATGTTTGCTAAATTCAGATAAGCTAATTTAAATACTTGGATTAATAAAAATCACAAGTGTGTTTTCTTCATAAATCTTTTGGACTTTCCAAAACAAAATCTATATCAAAAGTGAATCCACAAATAAATCTATTTTATATAAATTGTTATAATTTCATCAAAAGTATTTTAATACAATTAGTGTCTAAATGTGATTGCTGTTACTAGAGTTTAGTAATTGCTTTCTTGAAGTTTATCGTATTAAGAAATTTCCTTAAAGGCTTTTTAAAAATAATCTTATGGTATTGGACTAGAATTAGAGGTATTAGTTGTACTCACATGGCTTTTAATACATACAGGAATATAGACATGTGTGGGTGAATGTATGCATGTGTTTATATTTATGAGTATACAGTATATGTATCACATATAAATGTCCATGTCACGTGCATGTGTATCATATGTAAACGCACATTTGTTTCTTTTGCCTGTGTACTGAAAAGACCCAGAAGCAATGACACCCCCCAGAAGAGAACATACTAGCACCCAGAGCCTGGTACGTAAATACTATATTCTCCACTAGGAGGAACCAGCGCGCTTTGGAGAAACAGCTGACTGGTCTGAGTCAGGGAAGCCCAAGATGAGCCTTGGGAGGCTCACTACGCCCCAACAGGAGGAAAGTAATCAAAGTATGCTGGGGACCACCAATTCTGTATTACAGGGACACAACAAAGGTTACAAGTTGCAGCTCAAAGGGGCTCCTACTGGCCAAATATGTGATAATTTGACCCCCCAAAAAATCATGATAGTAAAAGATTATAATCACTGATTAATGATAATCTGGGAATCCCCACTGATATACACATATTAAATGAACGATTAATTAAATTTGAGGAAAGGAAAACAATCCTCACAATAGATGCCAACAAATAAATGCAGAAGGAATAATGGAATTAGAAAAGCACCATTTAGCAACTGCCACTATGATGACTGTTTCAGGCAAGTCATTAATGGATGCCAAAATTAGTGGGTAAAATTGTGAAAAATAACAGGATAGTCACATAGTCTCAAAGTATCTCCCCACATGATACTTATCAAAGATAAAGGGGAAAGTCAATAAATTTACAGGGAGGAAATCTCACCCAAAGGATGAAAATTACTGTCACTGACAGAGAGATAAACTGAAGCTGTGTACTTCCATGTGACCCACTATGAGACATGCTGTCACTTTCTGGGGCTCCAGACTTCCATGTGACCCACCATGAGGCATGCTACTGCTTCCTGGGGCTCCAGTAGAGGCCTAGGAGATGCCCGTGTGTAGAGAGAGCAGATGTGCCCAGACCAGGGACCTTCTGCAATGCAACTGGTCTGTACTTTTCCTAAGTGCCAATGCCATGAAACCAGAGGCCTCACCTCTGCCCACCTCCCCATCCAGCCCAACCCCTCCCTCTTCACTCCCATGTTCAGCACAGGCCAACCTTGCCTCCTCCCTTCCCTTGCAAACCCTCTCAGATCTGCTGCCAGAGCTCTACATCGTCACATCGAGAGTAGTTTCTTCATTTAAGTCTTCAGCTTTTCCCCACTGCCACCCACGCTGCAGCTTTCAGCCCATACACCTGTTGACAAGGTGCACTGAGTCCACCTCGCACTCATGCTCCACAGATGGGTGCAGAAGTCACGAGAACAAAAGACCTGGCTGTGAGCAAAGTCTATGGCAGGGCTCTACCTGGAGCCTGCTTTCTGACCCCACTGGGCCTGGCCCTCTCTGTCACATAATGCTTTGCAAAATCAGCTAACAAGGGGCATGGTTGGTCTCCTGCCCTCCCCTTACCCCACACTACCAGATTCTTGCGTCCTGCAGGAAGAATGTATTGTTTGTTTGCCTTTGTTTTGCCCCCATCAAAAAAAAAGAATGGTTTCTGTGAAAAAAGTCCCTGGAATAAGGTGCCTCTGTGGACAGTCTTGACTTGGTCTCAGTCCCAGGCTCACTCTCCTCTGTTTGGGGTCCTGATACAGTCATTTAGAATTTGGCTGTGCAGTGAATTAATGGAGGTGACACATCAGCCTACTCCATCACACCCAATCCATCCCTGTTTCTATTGACTATGCGAGTGAGTACATTCAGGCGTACTCTGGAAATTCCACAGCCTGACATTTGTGTACATGTGTGCATGTGTGTACATCTCTGCATCTTAATTATAACAATGCCAAGTAGGGGACAAAGGGGAAAGGTCGAAATTAATACTCAGTACAAAGTAAATTAATATAAGATGAAAAACAAAATTTAAAAACATTCAAAAATCAAAGTTTTGAGTATATAGCTATTCGCTTTGTCCTTTACTGCTTTAGTGAATAAGAAGTTCTAAAGCAGCAGCCAACAACAATAATAATAATAATAAAATGCATATAAAGCCAAAGGTTTCTTTTGGTCTCTGTGTAATTGGGCTCACTGGCCACTGTCAATAAGGAAATTGGCTGCTCCAAAAAGGTTTGTTCCAACTGCAAAGAAATCAAGAACATTACAGAGGAAACATTCACCACCTCTTTCACAGCTGGGGGAAAGAGTTTTATTGAAAATTTTAAAGCAAGTTATTTCCTGAGTATTTAAAAAAAGCCATCTACTCCATGGGATTGAGTATTTAATTTCCATCCAAACATGTACAAAGAATAACACAAGGAGACAAACAAATCTAATGTGTACACTTTGATAAAAACCAGCACTGCGCTGCCTGGGGGGTCAGCACGTCTCAGAAGGAGGAGCTGATAAAAGAGGAAATGCAGAAACAACAGAATGGGCAGAGAGAAAAGGGAACGAATCCCCAAAAGTGCTCTCAGGAAGATGGGAGGGATGTTGCTAAATCACCACAAACACCACCCCTGAGTGAGGCCCGTGGCCAATACCATACCTCTAACACTGCAACCTCCTGGCCATTGCGAAGCAGTCGGAACGTCAGGGGGTGCTTGGAATCCAAGCCTGGGATCACCTCACAGCCTCGGAGAGGGATTGAAACAATGTGGGTCTTCAGATCCGTCCTGTCCTTGTGGAAAATGAGCTTGTTGTCTTTCACTCTGCACCAGCGCTCCCGCCAGCGATTATTGGAGAGCACATTGAGATAGCCTGCAAGGAGACAAATGGCACGAAGGTGTGGGAAGACCTAGGATCTCGCCAAAGCCTAGTCAAGGGAGCACGTGTAAAAAACAAACCCCCCACAGCAAAGTCTTCAATGCAAATTCACATAAAAAAGAAGAGCCGCTCCTACAGTGTAATTTCCACACAAGTTTGGGGGGGCTTTTCAAAACATAACATAGACCATACCCAGAGCCTCCTAATTTAACATGTACTAAGAACGAAATGTCTAATGTTGATGTGGCATTCTGGAATTCACCTAGAGAATGTGAAAAGTTACTTAGCCCTCGAGTTCTGGAGGCCAGAAGGAAATGGGGACACGAAAGCTGTCTCCAAATAACTGAAAAAGAACCTCGATTTATTCTTAGTAGTTGCAAATGATACAAGCAGGGCAAAAGTCACAGGAAGTCAGATTTTGGCTTAACATGAGGGAAAAAACTATCTAAAAATGAAAACTTTCCAAGAAATAGGAGTTTTTGAGATGTGGCGAGTTCCCCAGCTCTGGAAGTATTCCACCAGAGACAGAAGGTCCTCAGTACAAGATTCCTACCCAGAGGCTGAGGACACACCCAACGGCCTTTCTGTCCCTGAAATGTCTGATCTGCTCAAACAAAATCCAAACTCCTGAGTCCAAAAGTATGTGAAATTTTGTTATTCATATCTCTGGTATGGTACAATGTAAATTTAGTGTATCACAGACAGCCACATGTGATGGAATTAAAGGAAGAATTATTATCTTCATTTTTTTTAAAAAAGATGATCTTCTCAAACACAGGAAATGTTCAATAACATGTTGAACAATGTTCAACAATGTTCAGTTGTTGTAAAAAAAAAAAATGCATTTTCTCTAGAAATAACAGGGAATGAAAAATAGATATCATAGGTAGCCGTAACTTCCATATGAAGCCTTTATAATGCTAGTGAATTACCGCCCCCCCTTTAAGACTTAGAAAGTACATTAAATAGCATATAAAATGTTGACTAGCAGGATCAAAGGAAACCAAATAAGGATTTCTGACGTAAGTCATTCAGCTACTTGCTCAGTCCACACACACACACACACACGCAGCTCTGGCTTTTAAATGTTAAGAAATAAAATACATGCTTTCCAATTTTGAGTTTTTTTTAATTGAATGGTAACTATGTACATTAATGCACTTCTGGGGTAAAGTGTGGGGTTTTCACATGCAATCTGAAATACTTCCATCAAACTGGTCAACACAGCCTTCATGTCATTTTCTCAGTTATTGCTTTAAAATGTTCACATTCTACTCTTAGAAAGATTCACCTG